GCCGGCGGCGCCAGGAGGGGAACTGGAGCGGCGCATGGGCAGCGCTCCTGTCCGGACCACCCCACCCCGCCCCAACGCTCTCTCGCTCTAACTAGAGGGCGCACTTTTCTCCCCAATGCCAAGGGAAAGCAGCGAGGCAGCCCCAGAAACGTGATGTCATGGCGCCTCAGCCATCACTGCGGAGCTGCGAGTACCACTTGCCCCGTGCATCCCGCCTGCAGAGGGTGGCTCGCTGCTGGCGCATCACGCGCTCCACCGCCCTGCCCATTGCCTTGAGCAGCCACAGGCAGGCCCACGTCGGGCTGTAAGAGTCAGGAGTTCTCCAGCCAGTGTCTCTAAGGGGCAGCCAGAATGCCGCCCCTGGCAATATGCCACCCCAAGCACGTACTTGGTTTGCTGGTGCCTAGAGCCAGCCCTACTGTGATAGCTCGTCTACACTGCCATTTTACTACTCTGTAACTTTCTCACTCAGAGGTATGAAAAAATTCTCTCCCCTGGAGGCAGCAAACTAAAGCACTATAAAGCACATGTATAAACAGGCTCCCAGAGCGGTTAGCACCTTGTGGAGGTGGTTTAAGTAGAGTAATGGGAAAACTCTCTTCTAACATTTGTGCCGTGATCACACTGCCGCATTAAAGTGCTATTGTAGCAGTGATTTAAACTAGGCATTGTAGACAAAGCCTACAAAACACTCAGGCTACATCAACACTGGGAAAGTTTGGCTACAAAACTTCTGTCAACACGCAAAATTAAAAACTGGTCAAACTGTTTTTTCTGCCTCCCATAGTCAACATTTCATGACCATATTGCTAGCTCCCCTGTTGATAGATAGAGCAAAGCAATTTGGGTAGGCATCCCATAACGGAGTGTAGTAGGAAGACAGAGCTGATCCTTGGCACTTCCTGAGATTCAATCTGAGTTCTCCTACAGCAGAGGTGGCCAACCCATTTAACAAAGAGAGCTGAAATAGCACCTTCAATTGTTTGGTTGGTTGATAATGTGGGAGCCATCTGATGATATAATTCAAACCATTAGTATAAGAATTAAACTTTGTGAATGAAGTTAAACTCTAGTCCTTCTCTGTGTATTTGGCTTGTGGAATTGGTTTTGTTTCAGACCAATTCCACAAACCAAATACACAGAGAAGGACTGGAGTTTAACATCATTCACAAGTTTAATTCTTATCCTGATTCAAACAATTACTATATCAGATGGTTCGCATATTATCAACCAAACAATGAAGGTGCTAATGGTTCTTGATGTCTGTGCAGAATCTTGTATTGGTCATCTTCTTTTCCAAGTGCTAACTAATGGTTCTTATCAGCCTCTTAACTATTTAGTCTTTGAGATTCTACTAGACTAATTGTTATTTTTTAAAGTTTTTTTCCTGTTACAGACTCACTGGGTTATCCTTCTGAAGCTTATCTACTAACTATTTTTTTCTTCGCCCTTCAATTTTTTTTCCTTCTCCCCCCTCCCTTCTTCGCTTACTTATTTTTGGTTCTGGACTTTCAACACTCCAGTCATCTGAAGTAGTGGACTGTTCCCACGAAAGCTCATGATACCATCTACATGTTTTGTTAATCTTTAAAGTGCTACTACACTATTTGCTGTTTTTTAAGTTTATCCTGTTGAAATTGAGTGACATATGGAATTGACATTTAAACCCAGTTCTCCTACTGATTGCTCATACTTGTTTAAGTGTGACATAAGCAATACCTAGAAAGTTGTTATAAAAAGTGTACTTTGTTAATGTTACTTTACTCCATGATCTCTTTGCACAATGAATAATATTCTGACTGGTATCAAATACTGCAATTACCATTTCTGCTCCAAGTTATAATTTCTTTTTAAAGGCCAAAGAAATAACAAGGGGATTACCTACTACCCCGAAAGCAGAGACAGCTCTAGATAATCCAGAAGAACCCTTCTGTCCAATCTTTGTTCTATTCCCCAGATCTAGGCGGCCAAGAAGTTCTCTCACCTCTTGTTGTGTGTACACATGCTGAAAACAGAAATGCATAGTGAACTTATTCTTTTTGGTTATCAGTGCTACTTGATATTTCAGAATAGTGGAGTTTATTTAATTGCAAAATTGTTCTGAAAAGTGAATAAAGAGACTTCTATTGTTTATTGGCTCTCAATTTCTTAACATATATGGCCAAGATTACAAAACAAAATTGTATTTTGTGAATTGATTGGCACTATCAAGCTTGTCTCCAAGATCAAGCAGTCTATAAGATAGATAGCATCTAGTCTACCACAATGATTGTTTTAAATTATTCTTTACATTTTCTTTCAAATAAAAAATTGGACACTTAATAATAAATACACTTTTTATTAAGTTAATCAATGTTTGTGTCTTATTCAAATGAACTAAACAATTCTATCTTATAATTTAATAATTTTCCTATCCTAATTTGTTTCATCTGTAGCAAAACCTATGATCACTCATATCCTTTCATTGATGACATATATGAACATAAGACAAAACTCACATCTATTATTTGACATTAGGAGATCACAGCTAAACTGAGTGACATAAAAGTATAATAGAAATGCATCATCCTGCTACTAGAGAAAAGTTTGGCTATCTACCATCTATGCAGAAAACAAATCATACAATGTGAAATTCCAAGTACCTTGAAATTAGGGATGTTAGAGTGTAACCAATCAAACAGTTAACTGATAAGCATTCATTTGTTAACATGGCCACCGCTGGGGGCCCACAGGTCTGGCAGCCCACTGAGTATTTAACCATGTAGTTAATTGAATACTTACCTTATCATCTATTATAACTAAATCTGTCGGTTCAGTGCGGTCGATTTTCAAAACACGATACTTGGTCTCTGCATGATTACTCCCAACAAGAAAATACCGCTAGGTTTAAAAGAAAGAAAGAAAATGTTGCACAAGAAATAATCCTGCCCCCAAACTGTACACATATCAACAATAGCATTATATAGCTGTAGATCAGCTCTATTTCAATTCTATCAAATAAATGTATAAATGGCATTGTTTTTGCCATCAGCATTTCAGGTACATTTTGTAAGCATTTCATGAAGATTCTAATCAATCCCCAATATTAAAAAGCCTCTCAACTCTCCACTTCACAGCACAGATGGAAGAAAACCAATTTAAATCTGGAAGAAAAAAAGGCTGGTAGCTGTGTGAGAAGAAAAATGCAACCTAGATAAGAGTATTCCCCACCCCTGGCACACTTATCACTGAATCTCCAGTGGCAAGACTACAAGCTGAAGTTGGTGATCAGTTGTAAACAAGTCAGTTTTTTTCCAACAGCTTCTTAGTTTAAAGAGTTTGATAGAAGCGCCATCTGTCCCTCTGTGAAGTACTTTATAAATGGAAGAAGTGATAAGAGAAACTGACTAGAATGTTAGTCAACTTCCTCTGTTGTCTTCCACATCTAAAGCATTTCTACTTCCTTGTAGAAGGAGAACATCAACTCCAGCAACATCATATCAGGAAAGATATAACTCGCCAGTTAACTCCAGCAGCAGCTGGCTGCATCAGGCAACCATGATAGGAATAGGCAGTGGGCCAGGCAGTGGAACCTCGGTTAAAACGGTTAACTGGTTTAACATCCCTAACTGATCAATTGATATATATGGGGGTTATAGTGCCAAAAGAGGTGGGGGGAAGGAGAGGAAAGAGAAGAGACACTCAAAAAGGAAAATGGAGAAAGACAACCAGAAGGAGATGGAGAGAATGAAAAAGAACAATATTGATGTCCTATCTTTGTGGTTCATTTTTTTCAAGTGAGTGACTCTAAATGTAAGTCTTCGGTAGTTGTAAGATGGTTTATTAGGTGATAAGGTTTTGTGGGGCAGACCCACTTCTTCATTGTATCCCTCTGTTATAGAATGGTCATGCCAATTCACTTTCAGAATATGATCTCAAGAAGTAAACAAATTATACAGTAACAGATCAGCTACATAGAATCAGAAGTCTTCCTCATCCCCTCGCCCCCCACCTTTGAAATGTGCAGCTTGGGTATACACCAGCTGGCCCCAGGTCCCACCTTGCTGCCTCTGTCAACTGTCTGATAAAGCATTTGCTTATTGGATAGTTGACTAGTCCTTCACATCCCTAATCTTTACACATGCAAGAATCTGTCTATAGGGAGCTCCTTGCAGAAGCAGGATGCCTTAAGTTGAATTAATTCAAGGCCAAACTACCTTCTTGTATAAAAGCTTCCTTTCATGTCAGCTGTAGTTATATAGTTGTTAATATATTACTCCAGTTTTAGATCCTTTCACGCACCTCACAGATTAACTACAAGTGTTATTCAGCAAGATAAGTTTTTTTCACATTGGCATATGCTGAACACTCAATATTTAAATTATGAGCATTTTTAAGATCTGATTCAGACTCAGAGAGATGAGCATTGTACAAGATGGGCATGTGTGTATCAAAGATCAAACTAGAAACAATGATTCCTTAGGGATGATCAAGTGCAAAGCTATAATGGAAGAATCAATCTGGCAACACAAATATTCTGCTGGGATAGATTTTACTAGTACAAAATCATCTATATTTAAGAACATTCTATATGCTATGCTCAGAAATTACTCAGGCATTTTTAATAATTCCCTATATTTGCCAGGATCTAACCATTACAAAGTGAGAGACACACCAAAAGTTCAAATCTTAGTCCAAAAACAAATCTTTAAACATTTCATTTGAACAGAACTGCTAATTAAAAAAAGATCTGCATTTTTAAAACAATGCTATTTGTAATATTTGTATTTCTACCTCTTAAGTGAAATATGAAAAGAAAAGAAAGTGGACATTTTCACTGTACTCATTACAGGCAGTCCCCGGGTTACGTACAAAATAGGGACTGTAGGTTTGTTCTTAAGTTGAATTTGTATGTAAGTCGGAACTGGTACATATTGTAGGGGAAACTCTAGCCAAACATTTCTCCAGAGCTCAGTTTTATTCTCCCACACCTCACTTCCCTCAGTCCTTTATTCTCAAGCTTTATTCTCAAGACCCTCCTTCCTGCCGACAGCGGGGGGTGCTGGAGCTGCCCATGGGCATCCGCGGGGCCAATGGACCCAAAGCTGGCAGGGCGGGGTGCCTCCCCCACTGTCGCCGCCTCCCGCGGCACGGGGTGCGCTTCCCCTGCGGCACTCGGGGAAGCGCCGGTTGAACCGCCTGTCAGGCGGCGTGTCTCCGCGGGGCCGCCGGC